AACAACAACAACAACAACAACAACAACAACAACAACAACAACAACAACAACAACAACAACAACAACAACAACAACAACAACAACAACAACAACAACAACAACAACAACAACAACAACAACAACAACAACAACAACAACAACAATAATAATAATAATAGCAGCAGCAGTAGTAGTAATGATAATAATAATAAAAAAAAAAGAAGAAGAAGAAGTTGATGAGAACTTTGAGATGAAAGATTAATGTAATGATTAAACAATGATAATAACAAATGTCAAGGTTAGAGGATCCACTAATAGTATTTCAAATAAGTATAGTATAAACTCTTATTACTCAAATGGAAACCACACACAAAGGAGGTTCCAATCAGATTATAAATTGTTAACATGATTACATTAATTAATCTTATTTGAATAATGCTAATACTTGTAAATATTGTTAGGCATTCATGCTTATAACTTATGTTAACAACAAATCAAGTTCCTTTCATAGCTCAAGTGTTAGTTATACCATACAATATGGGTTATGAAAGTGCCAAGCATTTATTGTACTAAATGTTATACAACATAAATCTAGATTAGTCATTTAACAAGCAAAGTATTAAAAAATGAACAAAATAACAAATACAAAATATGTTAGTATCAAACATTAAGATCCATATTGAGTTTACATTATAGTTATTCTTATACCATTAGTGTAACCTTTTCACTTTGACATAATAAACTTAACTAAACATAATGAAAGAAATAAAAATAAATGAACAAGATAAGAACATAAATAAGATAAAAGTTAATTAAGTAAAGGAAAGGAAATAAAAAGCATAAACAAGATATTAATGAAAATAAAACTTAAGCAATACAAAGAGAGAAATAAAAAGCATGATCTTGATCTAGAAACCAAAATGCTTAAGTACATGGCAAATGCCTCCTTTTATAGGCCAAAATTGAAAACTATTAATTTGATGACTATTTGATGAGTGGGTGGCCAACTCTTGACTTGGTGACAATCTTTATCTTCTATTATATGCCCAAAACGTCATTGATAACATCGAAACTAGAACCACTTGAAAATATAAAAGTTGTAGAAAATTGTCTCAGCTTTCTAAAAAAAAAAGATGGAGGTCATTTAGACTTTTAGAACTCCAGATATGGGCCAAACACTGAACAGTGCTCGGGTTGTAGGACAGATTTAGACTTCTTTGTTGTTGCTATAATTTGGACTTGAAAATGACCTTTTTAAATCTTGAGCTTTACATGAAAGTTGTAGGCCTATATCTTACCTTTTCACCTATATAAAGTAGACCTAATCCAAGATCTACAGCTCCAGGTATGATCTAATTACCGAACAATGTTCCGGTTTGGACTATACCAATATCTTTTCTCTAAGTTTGACCATCTCTTTGTCCTTTCAATTTTAGTTCTTAAACTCATCAATCAATCCTTTCATTTATGTGATAGACATGCATTTAAAATGAACATTTACCACAAACTAAAAGGTATCTTATATTATTAGATATGTTATTATAAAAAAAGCTTTAGTTAAGGAGTTATTGATACTTCAAGTGTAAAATGATGATATAAAACCTTGATAAAAATACACCTTTAAGTACTAATCAAGGAGATGTTTTTTTATCCATTTGTTATGGTTAGATCCTCTATAGAGGTCGGAGATGTCGTATTAATTTGCCTGAAATGGCATCTCGATCAGCCTTTCCAGTTAGGTAAGACAATAAAACAGGGATAGATTACATGTCACTCGATCTCTTGATTAAAAGTGAGTGACATGTCATCTATTTGAATCCTAAAAACTAGAGTTTTCTAATTGAGATATCAAAACTTTAATTTAATCCATGCTGTTTCAATTTGAGCTTAAACATCTTTAATTGAGAAAAAACTGACTAAGTTTATGCATTGCAACCCTTGTCAAAAAATAATTGAGATCTTTAAAGTCCAGTGCCTTTTACACAATAGTGCTTGGTTTTCAGTTGTTCAATTTAATCCTCAATTAAGCCTTAAACTTTGATTTTCTTCAATATAGTCCCTTAAAAGGTTTGGTACAACCCTCAATGTTTTGTGCTTTTCGCAGAAAGGACCTTGATCTTAATTTTTTTAATTTAGCTCTCAATTAGCCTTTAAACTTTGAATTTCTTACAATTAAATCCCTGACTACACAAATTTAACATTTTAAAGTTTTAAATATGTCCCTAATCTTCCAAAATTTGTAAATTAGTCTGAATTAGGTCTTTAAACTTGATTTTTCTTCAATTGAGTCCTTGATTAAATCATCTTAACCCATGAAAAGTTTAGTTAAGTCCTTGAACTTAATTAGTTCTTCTAATTTTTTACCAATTGATCTTTAAACTTATTTTTTCTTCAATTAAATCTTTAAATAAGTTAATTAAATTTGTTAGAAGTTTATTTAAGTGTTTAGCTTAATTAATTATTCCAAATTTGGTCAAGTTTGGATTTCAAGCTCAATTCTCTTCTTTTCTCCATCCTATCTTGTCAAAACATCTAAATTTGGTTATTCTTTTAATGTTTTGTTATTTTTATAGCTTAAAATCTTATCTTCTTGTGTCCCAAAAATATTTAGTACAAGGCACAAAAGAAAGCCAAAATAATATATGAAAGAAAAGGAGCTTCCAGGCTAGAAAAAGGTGGTGGTTTGGAAGGATTTTAGACCATTGTATGTCTTGAAGGCCGTGTGGGTGGAACATATTTAGCACATGATGTCCAGATTTTTTGTGTCATGATCACACTTTAGAGTGGAAAACCAGAACTACATGTTTACAGTTTAATTACCACGCATACCAGTGGCTTTGTTCTGTTTATTTTGCATGCAAAACAAATGATAAGATTCTTTTTTAATTACATCCTTTTTTATTTGTTTTTTTTATAAAAATCTTTAACTAACAACAATTTTCTCTTGTAAGCTACAATTCTTGGATGCAAACTAAGCTCGATAAAGCTTTTGTGGAAATGCATGTGCAGATTAATGACCATAAAAAAAAGGTTCCACAACTCGCGAATATTGTTGTTTTCAATAATTTTTTTCTTAAATTATTATTATTTTTTAAATTTACTGACTTTTGTTTTCTAATAATTCATATAACATGTGGTTGCAAGAGAGATACAATAATAATACTTCAACCTATAGGATTCTCAATCTGGATTTGTAGTTAGAGGTATGATCATTTAATGAACTCAATAAAAATCAGTTGCATGAACTCTTTAAAACTACGGTAGAAGACTTGTTGTAGACCCTCAGTGTTTTAGCCTTTGGATGTTTACAATCGATTTTGAGCACTCAAACTTTAGAGTTTGAGGTGATTTTAGACTAGTAAGTTCAAATTTGAACGACCCATCTTGCTGCTGATTATGAATGACTCAATGCTGAGATGGTCAAACTCCACCGATTGGTAATGAACATGAGATCACAAATGAGAGATACATGTGCTCCCTCTTATTGAGATCACAAATGAGAGGTACATGTGCTCACTCTTATTGACCTCACTATCCCGGTGAAAAGTCGTCTCCTCCTCCTCCAACGCCATTTCTATTTTAGATTTATCGTATTTGAATGTACAGATGTTTAAATTTGTAATAAATATTTGATTTTTATAATAATTTATTTGATTTTAATTATTTTTCTACTTTTTCTCAATTTTTTAAAAATATTTTTAAAATACAACACAATTTCATCTGTATATTCTAGAGAGTTGAAAAATAATTACTGCAAATACCACAATTATTGATGGGGTTATTGATGAAACTAGACCGTCATTATATTCTAGAGAGATTAAAAAGAATTATTGCAAATGTCACAGCTACTGTTAACACATTGATGAAATTAAAGATGGTATTCTATCACTAACATGTTATATTTATCGATATATATACGGACGGAATAAGACGGGTAATTTTTTTTGTACTTTATCTGTCTGTAAATCTATTGGTATATTTATTATCGTGGACTCACAAATAGTTCATAAATTACTGACAAGAGTTTTTTTGATAGACTATTTCTGATAGACTATTTCTGTCTATAAATCTATCAATAACATGTATACTAATAAATTACTAGTGTAAATATCAACAAAAATTTATATGGTCCCTAATATTAAATTTGATAGTGATTGGCATCGAGTACTTCTTGAATGTCTTGCCAAGATTCCGTTCTGAACCTTTTATTGCATGTGCGACACCGACCCAAACAATATCTTGCGATACCTTTTCTTCATTTTCACCTGATTTATGTGATTTTTCTTTGTGTCTTTTCCTCAACAAATTGGTTTGGAGATAGTGTTTATGGTCTTAAAGATAATTATACCTTATTAATGATCTTTATACAAAAAAAAAAAAAACAAAAAGAGAGAAAGAAAAGGAATGAAACAATAAGAACGATGATAATTAAGACCACATCTCACTTGTATCCAGGGATGAAAAAGATAAGGATTGTGTCACCGTATATAAGAGTCAAAGACATAATATTGATATGGCACCCGTGTAAATACTTGTAATGAAACTTATTGGTATTCCTATTTTTACATTCTGAAATCCAGTAAGAAACAGGCTGTGCAAGCTGGAGTGCTCAAAAAAGTTCATCTCAAAATAAACATCCACCCTAATTACCATTCAAGTTCGATCCAAACCTCGCTACTTATTCAACATCTCTAGAGATTAAGCACAATTACAAATACAGTAATTGTTTCAGTGGCTAGAGATCTTTTTAGTTTGTAATCTGCTAGCAGTTTTGAGCTGGACAAAGACTCTATCCTACAATTAGGCTTATCACTCAACAACATGGCATGAGATGGCACAAGGAAAGCAAAAAATCAATGGAGGACAATGAGACACGGAAAAATGTCAAATTTTATCCGCCTATTTTGCTGGCATGAAAACTCTATAAAGCTAGCTTGAGCAATCAATAGTTTGTAATGCATCTGAGATAAACCATTTTTTTTGTCAATCTAGAGGGCAAAAGAAAGTACAATTTAAGATTGCATAGAGATGGCAGGAGGAGGTTTCGTTGCGCAAAGTGGGGGGAGAAACTATGAAGGTGGCGTCACAACGTTCGTTATCATCACCTGTTTGGTGGCTGCAATGGGCGGTCTCATTTTTGGTTATGACATTGGTATCTCAGGTAACAAACGGAACACCTTTTAATTATCTTGTTGTAGTGGCAAATACTGCCGGTGAATCACGTCTATGTCTTAAAAGTACTGATGATTGGATTATTTTGTTGTACAACGTTGCAGGTGGTGTGACTTCTATGGACTCGTTTCTCAAGAAATTCTTCCCATCTGTGTACAATAAAGAGAAGGAAGAACGTCGTGACAATATGTACTGCAAGTTTGATAGCCATTTGTTGCAATTGTTCACGTCTTCCCTCTACCTTGCTGCTTTGGTAGCTTCCTTCTTTTCCTCTACGGTAACTAGATTATTCGGCCGTAAAATCTCCATGTTGAGTGGAGGGTTAGTTTTCCTTGCTGGTGCCATTGTTAACGGCGCTGCAAAAAATGTAGCAATGCTTATCATCGGCCGTCTGTTGCTTGGTGTTGGTGTTGGATTTGCCAATCAGGTAACTGTTTCTCTCAGTGTTGTCTTTCTCTACTTGAAATGTTTATAACGTTGAATGTTGATATTCATTTTCTCTGATCTATGCAGTCTGTTCCAATTTATCTGTCTGAAATGGCACCAGCAAAGATTAGAGGAGCACTTAACATCGGTTTCCAAATGGCCATTACAATCGGTATCCTTGCTGCAAATCTCATTAACTACGGAACATCAAAGATCGAAGACGGATATGGCTGGAGAATTTCTTTGGCTCTGGGTGCTGTCCCCGCTGTAATGATTGTTGTTGGATCTTTTTTCCTTCCAGACACTCCCAATTCTATCCTAGAGAGAGGCTACCCCGAGAAAGCGAAGACAATGTTGCAAAAGATTCGTGGCACGGACAATGTTGGAGCAGAATTCCAAGACCTCGTGGACGCAAGTGAGGCTGCAAAGAAAGTGGAACATCCATGGAAAAACATCTTGCAGCCAAGATATAGGCCTCAACTTGTCATTTGCGCATTGATTCCATTCTTCCAGCAAATTACTGGAATCAACGTCATCATGTTTTATGCACCTGTTCTCTTTAAGACCTTGGGTTTCGGAGATGATGCTTCACTTATGTCTGCAGTCATCACCGGCATAGTCAATGTTGTCTGTACAGCTGTTTCCATCTACTCAGCTGATAGGTTTGGGAGAAGAATTTTGTTCCTTGAAGGAGGCATTCAGATGATTATTTGCCAGGTATTTAATGATAACCTTAACCAATTTGTTTACTACATTCACGTTGGATCCATGCTGATTCATTGAATATGCTTACTTGATTGCAGATACTTGTAGGAGTCATGGTAGCCATCAACTTTGGAACAAATGGTGTAGGAGAAATGTCAGGTAGCACAGCCAACTTTGTACTGTTCTTGATATGTGCTTACGTTGCAGCATTTGCCTGGTCTTGGGGTCCATTGGGATGGTTGGTGCCTAGTGAAATCTGCCCTCTTGAGATTAGATCAGCAGGGCAAGCCATCAATGTCTCAGTCAACATGTTCTTCACTTTCCTCATTGGCCAGTTCTTCCTAACCATGCTCTGCCACTTCAAGTTTGGTCTCTTCTTTTTCTTTGCTGGCTTCGTTGTTATCATGACCATCTTCATTTACTTCTTCTTGCCCGAGACAAAGAATGTCCCAATTGAAGAAATGAACACTGTCTGGAAGGCACATTGGTTCTGGCGCAAGTACATCCCTGATGATGCTGTCATTGGAGTCGAAACACATACTGCATGAAATCACTATCAGGATGAGAACATTTGTTTTGGACACGTGGGGCTATGTACATATGCTTTTTAATTACATGTTGTGCAACATTTCAAGTTCAAAAAAAATAAATAAAGATCAATGCACTCTGATTTTTTATTTGTTTGTAAGTTTTTATTCGTCTTTTGAATATCTTCTCTTTTGAATTTTCAATTTCACTTTGTTCAAAATTCAAACAACAGGAAACATCCAAACCAATTCTCATCAGTACTGGTCCATATGATTCATAAATTCCATGCTATATTCTAATTAGATCCAAACTTAGACCTCTTATAAGCTAAAATCTCAAATTTCAAACCATATATACTTATAATTTCTCTTGTTTTCTTCCACAAAGAAATACCCTCATGTTGTTAATAACTTTTTTCCTATTACAATTAATATGTAATTGTTTTTTATTATAATTTCTTTCATGTTTTTCTTTTTTTTGGTTTGTTGGGTTTTAAGCTATGCTAGATTGGTGGCTTGTGCTTTGTTGTGAGGTGGCTTTTAATTTATTTTTTTTAACATTTGCCCCTTTCGTTCAAATCATTCTCTGATTTTACATTTTTCTAGCTTTGGAATCCAATCGTTGAAGCTTCAATCACTTTAAATCAATGAAATTGAATCTTGGTTACCAACTGTTGGATTTTTTCTCGACATCATAAAAATCTCATACAAAACTAACCGAAGCAAACCATAAGATCCAATCTAAAATAAATTCAATATAAAAATGAATGAAATTAAAATAAAAAAAATCTAAGTTAAAAAAAAACACGGTGGAACGCCATTACAATCCATAATGTTTTGTATTTAGGACTGCAATGATTTTTGGTATCATAAATTCTAGAGTTCTTAGTTTTTTTTTAATTATAAATTTTAAACATATAGTAATATTCATATTATAACAAAAGAGCATTATTGTTTAGCTACTTATTTACGTTAACATAAAGAGCTCTCAAGAATTTGTTGGTTGTTAAATTTGGATTTTGTTTTAGATGAAAAGATATTCATATGAGTCTATAAACTTTAACTGTGTGAGATCTTAACTTGATTTGATTTGATGAAGACAAAGATTATTTACATGAGCTCTAAAGCTTTAAACATATGAGATCTTGACTTGATTTGATTTGATAAAAATGAAGAGCATTCACACAAGTCTAAAGGCTTTAATCATATGAGATCTTAACTTTATTTGATTTGTTAAAGACAAAAGGTATTCATACAAGCCCAGAAGCTTTAACCATGTGAGATTTTAATTTAATTTGATGAAAATGAATGTGAAAAGTATTCATGCAAGCCCGACATGTGAGATCTTAGCTTTATTTCATTTGATAAAGATGAAAAGTATTCATTAGAACTTGAAAGCTTTAACCATGTGAGATATTAACTTGATTTGATTTGATAAAGAAAAAAAGTATTCACACCATGTTAAAAAAAAAAAAACATGGTGGAACACCATTACAATTCACAATGTTTTGTATTTAGAACTGCAGTGATTTTTTGTATCATAAATTCAAGAATTCTTTTAGTTGTTTTCTTAATTACAAATATTAATTATACAGTAATTTTCATATTGTAACAAAAAAACATCATTGTTGAGGTGTTTATTTACATTAACATGGAGAGCTCTCATGAATTTATTGGTTGTTAAAATTAATTTGTGTCACTACTTTAAATGTCTCTATTGATATGCATCACTACTTTGAATGTTCCTCCAAGTTAGAGTTGAAAAGGAAACCTTCGTGAAGTAACAATGTAGAAAAAGAAATTAGGGGAATGATGGCCTAATACATTCTTTGATGGAAGTACATTGGTATGAAAAATACAAAACACCATCTTTGTCTTTGTTCATGTCAAATACACTATAAGAGAATGGTGCAAAACTACAATAGTGAATTTAACTACAAGAAAAAGTAAAAACTCTTTTAAGATGCTTTTTGATTAGTACTTAAAAGTACATTTTTATCATGGTTTTATATCATCATTTTGCACTTGAAGTATCAATAACTCCTTAACTAAAGCATGTTTTATAATAACATATCTAATAATA